GATTTTCACATTCGACTGTTTTAATAAAATTTATTTGCTTTTTCATTCAGCAGAATATTAGTCAAGTTATGTTTTTGTTCAGTCCGGGAGCACTTTGGCGCTTCTTCGAAAGCCTACTGTAAATATTCTTCGTGCAAAATGTTTACCTCTTCATCAGTCAACGCTTCAGCCACGTTTGATTTGTTCCCTTTGCCTTGTTTTTTAAGTTGTTTGTATCGAGCTTCCAGACATTTCCTTGCTTGGTAAAACTCTTTGTCATCGATAATGCTTTCGGGATATTTGTCTTCTTTAAAAGCCGGCTAAAACTTGAAAAGAGCCCCCGAAGGGTTGATGGCTTGTGATCCTGGTCATCTTTTCGTTTGACGTTTAAAATAAATTCGCACATGTACTGTACTTGTTGAGTTCATCTGATTGGATTTCTTCCACTTTTTTCATCTCTTCCTTCTGTTTGAGGAATTGGCTAAAACAAGCTAACGTCGCGTCAGGTTTTTGCCCGAGTGTTTTTGTCCTGCTGTCTTCAATAGGTTTGGCTAAAGCGATAAACCTGTTCGGACTTTCCGCCATTCAGAGATCTTCAGAGATTGTCTGTGGTTCATAGCTAATTTGCTAGAAAACTAGTGTAAACTTGTGGAGACTCTACAAACTTCTGTGAATGAAGATTGAAGACGCGCAAACAACAACGCGAAGGCGTTGCGAACTGACTGATTCATTTTGACAGCTGATTTCTGATTGGATGAAACGCTTTTCCTACGTGTGAGAAAGTCGTTTCGCGATTGTCATTGGATGAAGAAATTTTCGTATGGGTTTTTCATGCGATCGATTCTATCCGAAAATCTCAGTAAGTATGAAATAAAGAACGTTTTCAGAGTAAATACACGCATCAGTGTGAGCGCGTTCATGATGATCGAATTCCTCGATCGAAGGGATAAGCTCAGTCACTGTTTCTTCTGAAATTTAAGAAGATCAAAATTTGATCTCTCAGCTGGGCGTTGCGACTTGTTAAAACCACGTTAATTATCAGAAGAAAATAAATACAGCGAAAACAGCCGGTAAAGCGTCAATACGTAATAAAAAAAACACGTTTTACACAAAAGCTAACAATCCCTTTGTTTTACTGCTTGCACTCGATTGCTAGATTAATTTTACACCTGCTGACATTGCTATTAAAGAAACATTTAAAATAGATTGCCAGAATTTGGAACTCTGAAGAGATGTTTGTACTCGTCTGAGGATATAGAATCGTTCACTGATCATCTATACATTGAAGATTCAAACAGCAGGTCAGTGTTTTCACACTCCGGTGCCTGTACATGTTCCAATGTCAAGAAGAATTCCTTTTTTACAAACAACAATACTTTTTTCCTATTCTGCCATATCGATCTTGTGGACCCAAATTAGCAAAATAATGATTTATTCATACGTAGTTTTAATTTTCATGTTCAGGCCAGGCAACGTTAAATAAGGATTGTTATCCGTCCCCCCAAAATCTGTCCATGATCATGATTATGAAATAATCCCCAGGTAGTAAGAACTATTATCAATCATGAATTTGGAAACGAATGTTACACAGCAACTGGCCGAAATATGACATCGCGAAAGTTGTGACTTAATTAACTATCAAGGTCATAATTGACAAAACATATTCTTAGCTTTATATGGATAAACGGCTCGCTTAATGGCCGTCATTTTCATTTGGTTGTTTTATTTTTTAATTCTCATTCTATTTAGCTCTGTTTACGATTTCACTAAACTTTCGGCTCGCTGGTTATTGTATTCCTGTGTTTTCTGGGTTGCTGTGGCTGTTTTGAGTTTTAAGTTTATTGTTAAATCCATTTGGAGCTTTAAAAAAATGAACATAACGGCTCCAAAGACATCTTTATAGACTCACTGTTTCACAAAAGACTATTTTATAAAAACTGAGCTACTTTCAGACATATTGCACGGTGGTCATGTTTTACGCAAAAGGAAATGGTTAGATTCAAAACAGAAGAAAAAAATCGTTGATTGTTGTTTGAATAAAATGGTGAAAAATGATAGTCCTTTACACAAGCGAGGCGATTTAAGTGTTTATCTAAAACGTGAATCTCCTTAAGGTTACTTCCCACCTTCGCGGGTGTCCTCCGGGAAAAAATTCGTACGCGCGCCAGTTTCAATAAAACCCCAACAAGCTATATATCAGAAGAAAGCTTAATAAATGTAGGTTACGATAAAAATACAATTTAAGCGAGTTTTTCTTTTAGATCGTCATTCTTTTATTTTGTCAAATAAAAGAATTGTGCCCTTGAATGTGGGAAGTATCCTTAATATAGATTTTAAAGTAACTGTGCACCTTGGAGAGTTTGCTCGGTGAACAGAAAAAACACAACAAACAACGTAAACTAAAGCGGCACAGTTTATCAAACGGTAACATCAGATAAATTGTCGCGTTTTGGTTTACTTGCTCACTTGCGGGTCTTGAACTACTCACTCAAACAAATCCGGTTCGGGCGCACGAACTAACAAACGACATTTCGAGCTCAAGGAAGCATCTTTAAAACGGTGATGGGGGCTTCTGATAATGCTATCGCAAATCGTACAACTCGTTGGTTATGTTTAGAATAAATGCCGTGGCAACAGAATCAATGATACTAAAGCAATTTTCAATGCCAAACTCGCAGTCGTCTACTATAGAGCTCGCTAGTCCCCCACACCCAGGTTTTCATTCGAAGCAAAGGCGCGTCCAAATTGCGATTGCAACCTTTTTTTCTGACAGCGAGCACCACAACCGTTAGAGAGATTGCTGTTGTAAGGAGGGGCAATGGTCTGCAACGTTCAGGGTAGCGTTGTAGGTTTAAATTTACTAAGGATTATAGGGGTTGTCATTATAGGAAGGTTGCAATTTATAAAGATTTTCCTGTGTCATGTGTCAGTCATTCCACTTATCAACACCACGATGTGTAATTTATTTCATGCTTCACTCTCTGATTCCTCTCTGCTCGAGAAAGACATAGCGGAAAATCCTGGCTAATAAGTCTTCGAACGCAAACTGATTTAATCCTTTCGTGTGAGGCCCTGAAAACATTTAAAAAAGAAATTAAACAGTTTTTGGCCTTCTCCGTTTGCGATTAATTAACTTTCTGCCATATGCAAATGAATACATGAAATATCATATATTTGAACTGCGGAGAAAGATATGAAGACATCAATGATCATCGCAGTTATATACACAACTTAATTAAGCAGCTTTGAAATTAAAGCCTGATTGTGAGCAGCTCCCAGTTGACTTGATAGCTCAAGCCTGAATGTTTTTTTAGGCTTTAATTTCACAGCTGCTTAAGTTGTGTATATAACTGCGAGGATCATTGATGTCTTCATTTCCGCCATATATTTTATTTTTTAGGTGCAAGGTTCCTTATACCGAATATATCTCTACATTGCCAAACATTTCACATTATACATCATCTTCAAGATATTCTGGTCACTGATGTCTTCATTTCCCCCATATATTATTTTTTAGGTGCAAGGTTCCCTATACCGAATATGTCTCTACATTGACAAATATTTCACAAGATACATAATATTCAAGATATTCTGAATAACTTCGATACTGAACTAACAGTTACTCGTATCAGAAGCTACGGCGGGAAGGGTAGTGTTTGCTCGAATAATGTTAATTTTGTGTCTACAGTTAATACCCGTGAGAACATCTACCTAAACCACAAATATTTTTTCATAAATGTGTTTTTATATCTCAACGTACAGTACTTAGCTAGCCAAAGGGTGAAGTTACATTTTACTTCATCTGAAATGCCGAAAGTTATAAAACGTTATATTTTCTCCCTCGGAGTTTAGGGAAAAAATTTTAGTCTTGATATATTTGACCAACGGATGTTTATTTCAATTGTCAGTGATTCGCAAAACTCACTTGCACAGACTAGGCCGCTTTCGTCCTTAAAAAAAACAATGCTAATCGGTCTACATAAAGCTGGTTTTCACCAACGACGGAGTCGGAGTCGGCGTCGTATAGTCGGAGTCATAATAAAAAAATGGTTTTCCCACGAAGGTATCAGTATATATCAACATCAACAAAAATTCACATTGTACTGTTTTCATCGTTGAAAGCTTAAGTTTTTTTCAAGTTTCCTTTCAGAGAGATCTCGAAATAAGAAGCTACGTTTTGTCTCGCGCTATACAGAGGAATGTAAATAGGGCTTACTCATCTGATTGAGGTTTTCTCCCGTGTTACATCAGTGTCAAGATTTTTGAAGGACTGAGCGTGGTTGTTAGTAAACAGTGGAAAGGATTTTAAACTGGCAGAAATTAGGATACCCTGGCAAATCTAACAAGGCTGGGAGAGAAGGCATTTAATCCATAGGCTCCATAGAATCTCATTCAAACCTCACCTTGAAGGCAAGTCTCATTTAATTTTTTGAATATTTTTGTTGAAGCGTGCACATGGAAAAAATTCCTGGAAAGGATTGCCTCTAATCTGTCATTGATAACTTGTTCATCTTCTTCTTCAATCCTTCTGTGTCAGAGTATCGCTTGAACAACTGTATGAAAACTAAACTCCAAACACTGCAAAATCGTAGTGTACGAATGTTTGACCCTGCTCTCTCTAAAACTTGGCTTGAAAAAATTAAGAATCAAACAACTGCTTTTCTTTAGAAGTTTTTCGTACCGATTTTAATTTATTATTCATCGAAAAAAGAAACTATAGCCGAAGAAATAGATTGCAAGCGCTCCTTGCAAATTTCACCTAACATAATTTGCGCATGTACGGTACATATCTTATGCAAATTTCGCTACGGCATTCCAATCGCTATTTTTATCGAGTAATTTTCTTTTAATTTTAATGTATATACTGACTTTATAATGAATATTTCTATTTATAGTTACTTAGTTGACTATGACTGTTTAACAGGTCTCTTTAGGGACCCCTGCCATTGGGTTAGCAACACATAATCAACATTAAACTCTTTACCAGTCAACTAATCCTATTTTTAATTCCAATTTTCAGAATGAGACTCGAATTCTTTGCAGCTATAATTCTGCTCGTTGTTTTGCTACATGCACATGTATCATGGGGTAAGATTCCACTTGTGATTGGCGGAGTGTTTGACATCGACACTAGGCCAGGAGATGATAATTCCGCTGGCATGATCCCCATAGTGCGCATGGCAATCAGACACGTTAATTTTTGCCCCAAAACATTGGCAAACTACGAGCTACAAATGGAAATAAAAGACGTCAAGGTAAGCCGAATAGCACTAACACAGTATATTGTTCTCGATCACCTGGAAGTCTGTCCTCTAAAAATTTTCAAGCATTCAAATAAACTACCAACTGCTAATGGAGAGTTTCGTTAAGCTTCAGCGACAAATGTAAATATAACAATAACAATAACACTAGTTCATTGACACTCCCCTGATAGGGCTTTTCAGTGACAGTACGAGAGAGCTAAACTAATCAAGTTGAAAGAAGTGGTTTACAATTCAATTGAAAGGGAAACAATGTGATAAACATTAAACAATAATCATACAACATAAAAAGCATTCGATAACGGGAGAGTTAAGCTACTTGTAAAGCGACTAGGAGTATTGCCACTCTCCTGCGAATATATTCACTGTATGTGCATGTTCTCTAAATATTTGAATCACTAGTTATCGGTACGTAGTCACAAGCAGTCGCGAAGCATATAACGTTGTACCTCAGGATGCAGATAAGACAGTCCGTCGTATGTCGTTGCTACTCCATTTGCACTTTACTCAGTGAAGTCGCCGGTTTCAGAGTCGTTATTGCTCGATCGATGAAAGCTGATGAATAGCGTTTCGTCCGCCGGTTGCGTTCCACTTTACTTTGCTTGAGGCCGTAACCTTGGAGATCAGTGATCGCACACACTGCTCTTTCTATCTAGCTAATTTCTGTTTTATTTACGTTTTGAAAACCCTTTCAATTGTCTGAAGCAATCATTTTACATTTGTTCTGTATTAAACTCAGTGTCAAGATGCAGATGCCCTGTACGCCTTTACTGAATTCATGCGAGAGAAGAAAAAGATGATCATGGTTTTAGGACCAGCATGTTCCAAATCAGCAGAACCACTGGCCAAAGTGACCCCATTCTACAACTTGGTTCATGTGAGTGGATAGACGTTTTATTTCTTTTAATTTTTCCTGTTTTTGCAAGAAAATGTTACTTGTTCTTGATAGCCTTGATTTGAATTCCTCAGCCTGGGATACTGAGTCAACTGGTTGTATTACCGATTGGAATTCCTAACCGGTGTAACCGGTTTTCAACATGAGTTTGCTTATGTCCAATGCAATGTCCTCAATTGACACAGTGCTAAATACGATGATGCATGACTTGAATGAGTTCGCTTATTCATTCATAAATTCATTCATAAATTCATCCATCCATCCATCCATTCATTCATTCATTCATTCTTTCATTCATTCATTCATTCATTCATTCATTCATTCATTCATTCATTCATTCATTCATTCATTCATTTAGTTATTCGTACACCTAATAGCGAGCGCCCTCTAGGCGATTGAGCTCTTTAAAACAAAACAAAATAAAACCATATATTAAAAGACATCATTACCAACCACTGAAAACTCTAAGTCAAGTAATACGTGATCGGACGTGATCAAACCTAACTCATTCTTCTTATGCTGAGTTTTTTTAATTATAACGTCGAAGTAAACAAATAAACAAGGCTTAACTTCAACAAGGTTCTATCAAAATTTAAATTAGAGCACGGATTGAGAGCGGAATATCTTCAAAATAAATCGAGAATTTAAGGGTTTTTGGTTGGACTTGACAATCCAATACGAAGCTTAGCAATTAGGACCAATAATCATATAATCCTATTTTCCGGTAGAGCCCGAATTTCTCTTTTCGTTCACCTCTCGCGCTCGAGAAGGAAACAATTGCTAAGCAGGCTAGTTTTAGACCTGTACAACTATCATGGCCTTCCCAGAGAGGGTTTCAATCGCTCATGGTTAACTCTTGGCAACAACTCATTTGCAAGTATTACTACATAAATAACTATAACTACGTTTGTGATTCCTCTGAAAATCCCCTGGTAAGCTAGATTGTCATGTCATTTTTTTCCCGCAGTTTAATCTCCGATGCACCCTCCGGAAAGCTTAGCAGCCTGAAAATATCTATTCCGCAGTTTGAACACAAGCAAATTACAGGAATGAAAAAATATTGTCATCGACAGTGGGATAGATCTTCTGTTAAGTAACAAATTGTTTCTTTCGGCTAAAATTGTATTCTATACTAGGAATTTTAATTATAACCACGGTTATACTTCAAATAATCAGGTGGCCATGGCATCTGCAAATCCAGCCCTTTCGTGTTGGAAGTATTTCCCCACCTTTATCCGCACCATTCCTCCAGAGCATTTCCAAAACAAAGGCAGAGTGGCGATCGTTAAATATTTCAAGTGGAAAAAGGTGGCCGTACTAAGGGAGGATATGGACACATTTGAGGGGCTTTCCAACGATTTGGTCTACAGGCTAAAGAAAGCAGGAGTAGAGGTCAGCAGTTACCAGACCTTTTCAAACGATGCCGAGTTACAGATTGAGGAATTGCAGGTTTGGCGAAACTAATGATATACTGAGATTTTTTTTTGATTTTATTCCATTTTTAACATTTTATTACCTTGGAAACTTAATGGCTGATCTGATGCCGCAGATTAGACACAGAATCCCTGGGCATGGGCCTATGAGGAGGCATTAGACATGGAGCCCGCAAGTAGAAAGATAGGGGAGTACGGCCCTAACTGGCTTGGACACATCAATGCACGTACTGTTGCAGATGGTCACAGGATAAAATTGTTGCGTACAGTTTTGCACAAGTAGAAAAAAACATTTTACCGTGTGTTGTCCTCAAGAGTACGTTCAACAATGTGAAACGATATTATTTCTATTGGGTTTGAGGTCAAATACTCTTTATTAAGGCATACAAGCGAGGCGAATGAGGTGAACACAAAGTACACTCCTTGATCTTGTTTGGGTGTCAAACCACTGATATCGATATCTGTGGAATAACAGTTATATCAGACTTTTAAATGTTTTTTTTTTGTATAACTTTTAATATGGCTCGTTCGTCTGCACCGAAACAAAGTTAAGCCCATATACACGTTAAATGAAGTTATGTTGAATTATGTTATGTTCCATACTCTTTATAAACAGCAAAAAGATTTGAGAATTATCTTCGGCATTTTCTCGGAGCAATCCGCGAGGAAAGTGATCTGCACGGTAGGTCATAAAACAATCGAGATATTTAAAATAATTTGAAATAAAACCTATAATTAGATAAAGTAAAGCAGTATTTGATTTAAAAGGTGCCGTTTTTGTTATACCAAGCTTTTGAAACAAATAACAGCTCGGAAGGTTATATAATAGCAAGATGAATCTAAGCTGCATGGTGAGGTAAATCAGAAAAACACTGCAAAGGATCTAGGCACTCACTACATTTCCTGCAAAAATTCTACCATAGAAAATTATTAAACGAATGTAACAAGCGCTCGAGAAATAGGCGTCACTGAATTTTCTCCTTTAAGTTGTAAATTGTTAACATTAGATTTTGATACAGGTTACTATGTTTTGATTTCGCGCATTGACATAAGTGAAACTACATGAATTGTAGGCACATAGGAAAGGATTTTACGGTCCTAAAATCGTCTGGATTTTAATGGGGGGCGGATACAGATACCAGTGGTGGACTTATAAGGATGTCAATTGCACTGGACAAGAACTTAGCAGGACGCTTGGAAACTACATAAGCACCGAGGCGTTAATGATTGGCGCTAACAATGAGCGTACAGTGGCCAGAAAGGTAAGAGAGAACTTGACCGTCGTCCACGAAATGAGAAAATCTGCTTTTAAATGAAAGAATCTTAATAGCAATGAGCCTTTTGTTTTAACTGTTTCCTCGTGCCGTTTCAAGTGCCCGTAATAAACCTTGTCGTTAATTACGACGGCATTTTCGCAGATCGGTAAAGAAGTGGTCACGAAATGTAATCTTTGAGTCGACTGCGGTGCCAATGTTTTTACCTAGCGATTGCCCTGACCTCGGAAACCTCGAGTCCGTTTGGGACAAATACCCATCTTCAAGAAGATTTTAACGAATACACATTCTACTGTATACTTTCTTCCCGTCGCTTTCCGCCAAATGAAATCAAGTATAAAAGTATTTTAGGATATACACAATCCAGAATCAGTTAATAAAGATGGTGAATTTTAAGCTTAAAATTCACCATCTTTATTGACTTATCACTACTCACGATGACTTCGATAGCGTTGATCCTCGCAGTATGCAGGACACCTGTCATGTATGAACTCAATTAAATGACCTTGCTCTCCATGAGTTCTTGTAGCTCAGTGGATAGAGCGCCCGCCCAGTGTTCGGGAGGTCATGGGTTCGATTCCTGTCGGGGACTCGGAAGTTTTCTTTGTCCCACGCTCGTGCCATGTTGATTAATTCACCTTCACAATCCAGAATCACTTTGCCCAAATTTCTTAGAAGCTGTTTTGTTCACCAAGGATCGCCAAGGTTGTGAGTTGCTGCGATCCCCCTTCCGTAGAAAAAAATCTGACTTGACATCCTTCCAAGTGTAAACTCAGATTCGAGTTTGCAGTTAATACGAATGTGCAATGCAAATTGCGTTTTAGGCTAAAGAAATATTAAGGATACAACGTGAGAATTCATAACCTTGGAATGAATAAATTCTATAGGTTTCACAATCGCAGTTTTTCCTTTAATATGGGACGTAAGCAGAGGAAAGAGATAAACTGACCATTCGAGTTATGACTGGTGAGAGAACATCAAGGCAGGCCTTATGTCAGTGGTGTGATAACTACGTTCGATATTGAACAAATACACCTTGGATAATTTGTCCTCATTTGATTATGATATCCTCCAGACCGTTCGAGAACTAAGCGAAGAATACAAAACAGAGCTGGCCAAGTCACCGTACAAGGAACCCAGCCGTCACGCTGCCTTTGCTTATGACGCAGTGTGGACCATTGCTCTTACTCTGAACCAGTCCATCTCAGCTCTCAAGAAACAAAATGAAACAAGGAATATGTCATTAGAAGACTTTGACTACACCAACATTGCCATGAGAAAGATATTCATGAAAACCGCAAAGAGAATTTCTCTTCAGGGAATGTCTGTGAGTGTACTGCTATTTTTTTTCCTTTGGTCACGCTACAGTCAAACTTCTCCTTACGCACATCTCAAGTGCAATGCAGACACCCCAGTTCACATATATTCCAGTGGGATACCCAAGTGCGTAGGTCCGCCGTCTATATATAATATAAAAGAAAAGAATAACTCACTTAGATAAAGTTATCAGGTAAAGTTATGTAATTAGGCGTATTCTTCTTTCATTCCAGGACCGTCGCTTATAGCATTATTGCACTACTGCTCAAATTTCACAAGCATTTAGGTTCCGATTTGCAAAAAAACGTATTTACCAGTAAAAGGTTTCAAAGGGTTTTGTACTTCCTCCTTCAGTCGCTGTTTATTTACCTACAAACTGGTTAGCAGTGTCAAGGAACACACTGATTGGCAAGGCTACATTTCTTTAAACAGTTTTCAAGACTCGCATTGTCATTGTGCATATTCCACACTCACAGTACATCACGTGTGAAGCAAAGTGTGGAAAGGGGTATGCTGCCTGTGCGCACCCGGGCGGAGCTCCGCCTTTGTTGCATGTGAATATAGAAATGAATTTACATTTCCCAGTGGAAAACGAAAATTAAGGACTTGGCAGAAAAGAGTCGATTATTTGAAACTGAAGGTGGAAACTTGATACTCGTATTTCTTTATGGGGTAGGTTTTCATGCTGCAAATGTGCGCTTATTTAACACCCCCAAAAAACCAAAAGTTTGTTTAAAGGTCAGAGACGTGTTAAATAAAAGAATACGCAAGAAACAAGCGACAACATATTTTCTGACAGGTTTATCCAGTTATTTTACGCAGTTAAATGTGGTATTTAACACTTTCAATACTTTATAATGTAAAAAAGCGTTTCTACATGTCATTCGCTCTTCAGGGGCTGGTGCAGTTTTACAAGAACTCTGACAGACTGAGCTTGCTTAACATTGATCAACGTCAAGGTACCTATTGAAACTTGTCAAATTTGTCAATCTATAAAAGATAATATCTAATAAACGCATAACAAATCAAAATCTCACAGCAAGACATGAAATATTTTCAATAACAGATCAATGTCAGGGGTGGATCTAGGGGAGGCGCCGGGGAGACGCCCCCAACCCCCCNAAAAAAAAAAGAAAAAAGAAAAAATCACAGAAGGAAGACAAGCCGGCAGAGCAAGCAAAACAAAACCGTCAAGGTCTGGATCTGCCACTGAACGTCACGATTAATCACAAACATAACAGAACAAAAGAACATCACGAAAGCACCAATATATGTCAGTCGAGATCACACTCTCCAACTCAACCCCTCCCCCGCAATAACAACGACCACACTGATATATAGTTATAAGTTTTTCACTGTCTTTGTTGTTTTTGTTGTTGTTTTGTTTTTCAAGTTCACAATGTTTTATTTTTCAGCCGGCGAAATGAAACGAATAGGAAGCTATGATATGAAACGAAAGATTATCATCGCTGAGAAAGGACAAACAGCGGTGTGGGAAGGTACCCGCTCTGAAGAAACATAAAAACTACTCTGTTCTTGTTTCACTCGCATTACTAATTAGATATTTTATCCCCAGTGTAGGCTCTCTGCAGCACATGATTTGTTACCAAATTGCACTTAAGACCACCTTCAGTGTGTACATCTCCTTCTGTGCTCAAGTGAAAACATAAAACGTTCCCTTGTTAGGATTAGTCGAAACGTTATAAGCTCATACAATGCTTCGTGCTTTTTTTTTTCTTTTTTTCCAAAAGCAGGCAACCATGACCTGATCCGAGAAAAAACGACTGCAATTTTTTTTTGAGCTTTATATCACCACCCTGATTTTAACCAACTTCTGAGCATTTTTTCCCCACACGCTCGCTTTCAAACCTGAAATATAACAAGCAGTCTCGATATATAGCACTTATTTCTAATTACCATTTCAGCCAATGTGAGTAAAAAGAGTACATTCGCGTCTAAGGTCAGGTTAAGCTAATATATAGATCTAGCCAAGCCTAAAAGCGGAGCTCCTGATTGCAATAACTGACGATAAAGGAAAGAGAGAATTATTTTTTCTTGGATCAGAAACTTAAAAAATGATCATTTGTGAGCATGTAATTGTTCAGCGTGTGGTTTTGCTATTTTTTCCAGTTACATTTTAACAAACTATACCTAACAATCCTAACCAAGATTGGAGAAATTACGTACGCAATATATCAGGGACTTTCCAAGGGACGATTGTACAAGGAATATGTCAAAGGAAAAGTCAACAACGCGCCAGGGGTTAATTTGCGCCGAAATTTTGCCTTTGCGAATACTCCTTCGTTCTCCCCCAGAGAAATAACGTGACTTGAGCCCGCGATCCAATCGGTAAACCAGTAAGTGGTCAGCAGTCAACTTTAAGAAAACCACGCAACCTGAGCCCGCGATATAGTCACGTGATACTGGTCAGTGGATAGCTTGGACGCCCAAAATCAAAGATGTAGTTATGGTAATGGTGCTGCTTTCTTAATTTTCAAGGTATTAGCGTACGGACGGACGTACGTACGGACAGTCACGTGACAACCGAAATTTTTCAGATCGATGGGTTACCAAATTTTCTAAGGTATGGGGCTCCGCTCGCGCGCCGGAGCTCCGCTATAATGTACTTGTACTTTTCTATTTTTCAGATAAAAAAGTTCCAGCATGCAGCATCAAGCAAATCCGAGTTCCACGGTACCTTTCCAAGGGAGTGGTATTTACTATGGACTCACTGTGTGTCCTGGGCATTCTTTTCGCAGCTGGTCTCTTCATTTTCAACCTCAAATACCGAAACGTCAGGTACATTCTCCCGAGTTATGAGTGGTTGACTGCCTTGTCCTTATGCTTCAATTTTCTCAAGTCACCTGCGTTCTCACTGCGACAAACTCCCATCATAAGCAGGAGAATAACGAATCATTTTTGTTCTGTTTATGCTTTTGTTCATGCTTGTGTGGTAGTGAAAACCGGGGTTTATAGGGTGTTTTCTAACTCGCCGTAAACTATTGGTGCTACGCCGAGGTGAAAAATATAAGAAAATACACCGTGTGAAAGTCATCACCGACAGTTATCGTGTTAGGCTGTCAGCTGGTTTTTACTAAAGGTAGCAGTTTGAGCTTTAGCAGCTTTAAGTCATTGTCAGCTCAGCTCTAAATGCTAAACTTTCTCGGTAGGTATATCCGGATGTCCAGCCCTAGAATGAACAACATCATAATTCTAGGCTGCGTTTTTATTTACGTTTCTGGAATCTTGTTCGGTATCGACAGTGAAGTTGCTTCCGGAAAGGCTCACGAAAGGGTGTGCCAGGTAAGATATCCTGTTAAACATTGCAAGCAACAAATTATATGCCAGTCTGTTTACTGCCTCATAACCCAGATCGCTACGTGTCTCCTGTATCTCAAAGGGGTTAAGTATGCAATCGATGTGCGAAGGCCATTGTAGCGATAAAAGAGAGAATGAGATCAACAATGTCCAATACTGACCGAACAAGCTAGTTCAATAAACTATTTATTACAATATCTCTTTCTAATTTGCTAATAATCTGATGCGTTCCGCGATCCATTCTCGGCGAAAAAATTGTGCATACAGCATCTTGGTTATTTCCAAAACACTGTGCTAACCAAGTTGAAACTTGTTGATGCTTTCTTGCCGTCAGATTTCGTTTAACGTCCAATCTTTTTAGGCCAGTGCATGGACGGCATCATTTGGATTCACCATGGCTTTTGGCGCTTTGTTCTCTAAGACCTGGAGAGTCCATCGCATCTTTATGAACAAAACTAAGAGAACGGTGAGAGTCGATGAGCCGTGGTAATTAACGTCTTTTTTATGGGTACTATGCCACTATTTCAACAATGGAGCGTCGGGGGATGATCGGCTGATAGCTGCACCGCGGAAATTTGATGTTCATAAAACGAATATTTACCCGAGAGGCGAAGCTTGGAGGGCAAATATGCTAGTTTTAAGAACATCAAATTTCCAATGGTCCTCTATCGGACCGATTGTTTCTAAATATAAACATCTATTGTCTTTATTGTTCACTACTAACTTTTCTTCCGCGCGCCAGTTCAAAACTCATATTGAATTGTTTTCAACTCTTTTTAGATAGAAGGCGTGAACACCAAATGTAAAATTTGAAAAAAAGAAACTGACAAATTGCGTCTTTCAATTTTTTTTTGCTATAAGCCTGCTTGCTTACAAAAGCATTTTCACGGACGAGAACCATTCATCCAGGTATTTTCCTCGGACGGGCACTATGGGCAGATAATGCCTCTCCGCCGAAGAACACTATCGTGTCACGTGATCGATTTAAACCAATAAGAATCTGATAAAATTTAGTGGTGAGCTCTAGTAACTGATAATACTAGCTTGATCTAAACCAAAACTTGCATGTTAGGTATACGTTTTCAGAGTCCGTATCAAACAAGTACGTTGTCCTCAAAAGTTATAACGTCCGACTCCAAATGGCGAATTGCATGATATCCTCCAAGGTAACAATGCAGCAAGTTGTTCATGCTACAGGAAATCACGCTTTAGCAAATTTTGTTAAACCTATACTAACATTTGTCATATTCCTTTAAGGTAATTAAAGATTACCAGTTGATCATTGTTGTCTTCCTCCTCCTGATGATTGATTCGCTCATTCTCTTCACCTGGCAAACAATGGATCCTATTTACACCACTGTCAAAACATTCCCTAAACAGGTAGTGCTTTGTCGCCTGGTTGAGGCCATTTTTCGAACAGTATTACAAGAAGCGATCTGCTGGGTAAACTTAGGTAGCACATTTTGCCCATTAAAACACTCACTTGTACCTACCTCAGCTAATTTCAATAATTTGTATTCAGATTTTAACATAATTTGTGCTGTTAATTAGATATATTCCATAATTATCACAAATAAATATTAATCTTTAATTCATAAAACTCACGAAACATAACTGCGAATTCGTTTCAGATCGACGAAGTCGCCGATACCGCTCTTTACCAGTACCGGACCTACTGTACTTCAAACTATGGGAACTTGTGGTCAGGCTTACTTTATGGTTACAAAGGCTTTCTTCTGCTGTTCTGCACTTACTTGGCGTGGGAAATTCGCAAAGTTCACATTCCAGTCCTGAATGATTCCAAACAGATTGGCTTTGCTGTTTATAACGTGTTTATTCCTTGCGTCATTATCATCCCGATGCTTAACCTGCTCAAGACTCACACTGATGCGGTGTACATCCTAAGTACTCTGCTGTGCATCTTCTGCACTATAGTCACTCAGTGCCTCATCTTTATTCCCAAGGTAATAACTGCCCATCTCGTTTTATGAGAATGTGGAGTACATAAATTTGTCTCAAGATACCCTAGTAGTTGATATAGCTGCCATATAAGGAATTATTCACAGAAAGCAAGAAACTTCATTGTTATGCTACGTACACGTTTAACTGTGGGATTGATGAAAACTAATGACGAAGTTAGTGAAATAATTGACATGCACACCAACATGATACCAAGATAAAATGCGCTAATCCAAAACATGCAAAGACATGCAAACAGCGAAACGTTCCTTTTAGGAAAAAAGTAACATGGACGTTACGCTAAGAAGTGGAAGGAACACATTGACAAGTGGATTTTTCGCAATCATGGGTTTCATGACACCGTACCATACTTCTACCATGATAGTAATTTAAATTACCAAATTTTATACTGATACTAAATCAATCTGTCAAAGGAAGTTGCAAATCACAAAGAACAGTTCTGATCTTAAAACACTGCGAAGCTAATAAACCCAAAGCATAGCTGTAGAATATACTAGAGAAACGATTACAATTACATTACCGCCACATATCGAGATGGTCATAAAAATCACTTGGTCACCACTAGTAGGTAATGATTTTATTATTTTACAGGAAGCTGATTGAGTTTTATTTTGATTATTATTTTATCCCATTTTCTGTTTTTATACAGATTTTGGTGATAAAACGTACAAATGGTGACCCTGTCGATTATCAGAAGGGTTCCATACCTTCTAGCAATGGTTCTGATGTCAAAGTTTCTCCAGATCCTGAAACCAGCTCTCATGATAAGAAAGAAACTGCGCAGCCAAATGCTGAGTAAGATGTGTCTTATCAGGTCATTAATCACATCCATCTTAGCAAATACGTTCACTTATTAATCGACTGCTGAGACGTCAAGAATGAGTTTTTTCGCAGTCTAAAGGAAACGGTTTTCATTCAAACAGAAAACTTTACCTTGTTATGTCTGGCCGAGAAGTTTGGTTCGAGTTTCAACAGAGTTGATCAAATGAGTTTCCTTCACATCGTCGACGCGCAAACTCTATTGTTCGGACCGCATGATTAGCAAGCGGACAATTTTCCCAATCAGTACTGGCAGATCTTCGAGCGATTAAGCCTGGTTTTCACTACGGCGTAAGTATATACATGAGTATAAGCACCTACGAATGCGCAGAATGGATAATTGCCTTAATTATTTTCGGCTCCATACCTCCTCGATACAGTAAAGCTTAGTTTGCTTATGTTTCTGTTGTGGGCGTCCTCCTTATTGTTGTTATGCCTATGTTTGTATTTGTTTTTATGTCGTTGTGAAAACCAGGCCTAAACAATTATGTAGTCTGACTGAGTAGACCGAAACAGTTCTGAAGACCGGATATTTATTTTTCTTTTATAAAGAGCTGCAAATCTCTTTAATGTTTTACCATTCTTACACGTAATAGGAACATTATTCCGTGATCCTTATGCGTAAAGTAAAGCCTGGTTTTCACTAGCGAAGCAAGCACAAACGCAAGCGATATAGGGATGACCCAAGTGAAAACGAAATTCGACGAAAACACAGTCACAAGCAAAATCATCCAAACCTTCCAAACTGTTTAGGCGCAAGGTAATCTGGATCCAGTGTTTTCATTGGCCAAACTTAACCACGTTTGGTAAATATCCTTGTACTTGTGTTATGCCTGAGCGGTATTTCGTTTTCATTCGTTGCAGCGCGAAAGCAAGCATAAGCGCAAGCACAAGAAAAAGGAAAATTTTTGATTCTTGTACTTGCGCTTGCGCTTGTGCTTATACCTGCGTGAAAACCAGGCTTGACCCCGTAATGAGGAACGACTGAAAAGTTTCCAACTCTTGTCGAGGAAGCTGTAAACCAACCATCCGATTCCTCTCTTAACACCAACGTACAGATGGAAACGGTTTTTCTATCGTTGATGGTATTAATAACTTTACTCATGTTTTTTCAGGAACTAATTCCATGTGTCAGTCAACGTGGAGAAACTCGGTTTACTCTCAGCAACATTACATTTAATGGTATCACTCTTGCCAGTAGTATCAGGATTGTCTTTTGTTGCATTTATCTGTTAAGAATTCTAATGTAAGCCTGAGAAAATAAAGACAGGCTAAGAAGAGGAAAAGAGTGTTTTCTTATTTTACCAAGGAATACATAGTGATAAACGGATTTTAAACTCGGACTGGACAGTAACAGACGATAGGGACCAGAGTTCAGGGAACTGGAAAAGCTCTTCACGGTTCAAAAATTATTCGTCTTCAGATAAAATTCAGTCATCCCCAACCGCTTGATCAGGGCATGCTACTTTGCATTTGGTCAATTGCTCAAGGATGGCGCAGCTATTTAGCTTTCACTTCACGTCATTATATCAATCACAGAACTACTCCCAAACAAAATCCCAAACTAAAACCAAAACCTATCTAGCTCTCCCCTTCTACTCCTCTTTGAACACCTGTCACGCAGATTACTGCCATGCAGATTAAAATATGAGAATTTGAAACCATGTGTAGCGAAACACTATCATTTGCATCGAGCATAGTTAACAAGCTTACTCGGCTTCTTCTTCTTCTTCTTCTTCTTCTTCTTTCTCCCCTCGTTTCATAACCTATATAATGAAAGCGTACATATACCACTGGCTTTCCAATCCTCCAAGTTAAGCTTGAAGTAAAGCTTGAAGTAAAGCTTGAACCGTTTTCCGAGTGTTGCTATAAACCGCACTCGCCATTAATAACTTTCAGTCAGATAAAATCGACATCCTCTGTTCTGATTGGTTACGCAGAAGCATGCCCAGACCCTCCCCAGAGCGTACCGACAGACAGAAGGCCAGAAGTGGACTATGATTTGTCTTTATAAGGCCTTGTAAGGCGGGGTAGAGTCGTGGTAGAGTCGCAGTAATACGTCAATAGGTCTTCTACAGAATGAAATGTTGGTCCACTATCCGCAAGAGCATATCCTTGATCCTGAAAACATTGAAAGTAGTTTAGAAGAACAGTTCACTGTACACTCTGGGAAGGAAATAAAGCAACTGGAAAACTGGCCAGCAAGCAAACTGATAGCCAAGAAATCAGGTAAGATAAACAATATTCGCAACGCTGTTACCTTTTCATAAAGTATCTTGCTGTGTAGTATTTCATCTTTGGTAGCCACGGACAAAACCTGCACAAGAGTAAACAGTGTGTAAATATGAGAAATATTATATAGGCCATAGTGAAGTATGTAAAAATCAACGATAAAATTGGACGGCGCTTCAGAGTCATCATGCCGCCATTACAAGTGCAAAATGATTACAATCAACTGTCACAATTAGTTCACTGAAGGTTAACATGATAAAAAATTAATTATGCAATGTCAACCAAATAGTTTGGCTCGAACTGAGTCCTATTGGACATTTAGAGATGGTGTCGAATCTCAAATTAGCAACATTTCTTGCAATTTTGAATCAAACTTTTCTTAAAAAGTTATACTGTTTGTCAGACTCTTTCAGGCCAATACAGTGTCTCTTCACCTCGTGTGGTCCCCCATTTCCTTTCTAGGGCAAACGCTGAAAGGAAATATTTAGGCTGATTTCATGCATTCCAAACATTTTTCTACTTTCCATCATTGAAGAATTAATCGGCAAGCTTTCGATTTTTTGGAGTCCGAGTTCTTTAAGTCTGATGAGACTAGTAAACTGAGCCGCAACCGAAATGTTACAAGAACCCGAAAGTGCTCTTTAGCCGTTTTTCCGTCCAAGTTTTACGTCGCCCAAATTAACAAGTCGATTCTCTCAGATGCAGGAGCCGTCCTGGGTACTTATCAACATGTTTCCTTGATAATAGGATACGTGGTAAACACGAGAAAGATTATATGACATATATCTTTGGGTCATGGCTGGCAGCGTGGATCAGTTCTGGCGTGAAATAAATGTGGATTTCCTGAACAAACAGTAACTACTGCTGCAAGATCATATTGTACTAACCATTCCTGACTGCACGTTCTGGCTGTTACGCAAAACGAAAACCCCTTCATGCTCGTTCTGCAGGAGCCTAGAAAAACAAACAGACCGACTTCGATTTTGCTTTGTAAAACCCCTACCCCAGGAAATTTTCGTTCACTGGCGATCGATAAATATAACCAAAATGTTAAAGAGTTAGAGTTGATGAAATTTACTTACGATTCAGCTTCATTCCTATCTATGTCAAGTCTCCTGGTAGAGAGAACTATCTGCAAGATGGCACTGAATGTAAGTACGGTGACCAAGGCCGGAAAACAGATCATAATCACACTGTACCCATTGTCGCCACTGTTCAAAGATGGCCAAATTAAGGCTATTTTAGAATGTGTAATAAAGTTTCTTTGTTAGCAAAATGGCCCGTTTTTGGAGTGGGTTGTTTGTGCATTCTTCGTAATTTTTTTTTTTTTCGTCGTCGCTTTGTTTGTTGTAGTTTTTTTCGAAACACGGTGTTATCAATGCTAACCGTCACCTCTATAGCACTTTCTGAAAATAAATACATTCACATTGGTCTATCATTTTTCTGTAACGAAACTTAACTAAATGTGTTGACAAGAGGATTTCGATGTAATTTCTTTCTTTTTCTGTTGTTGTTGTTGTTGTTTTTTTCACATCCTAGAAATAAGTTAAAAACAAGCCCACGTGCACTTCGAAAAGGTTCACAAACACCTTCCTTCTCCAGGTGAAAAAATGAGATTTGTAGGAACAACTTATCTCGTTATAACAGGCACAAGTCTATTTGCTTATACTGATGTGCAGTTCAGCGTGTCTAATTTTGTAAATTTCTCATAAACACTCCACCTTTGCCTTAACAAATGAGTGAACTTTGACAAATTTTGTTAATCTTAATGCACCTACTAACGTGTGATAAGCGATGATCTAAATTTGATGTTAATTAAATTCTTGTTAATTAAAACCGCCGATCCTCAAAAAGACTAATTATGCATGTCATCAAAGGCCATAGACAACATGATATATATTTTATGCAACGCTTTCGAGTGGTATGCCATGGAATATCCCACGAGTCACTTGCACTTTCTTGCTTTACACACGAGCGTTAGTTGGATGTTCAACGGTATACCAGGAGAAAGTGTTTTACGACTGTTTTGTACCATGTCAATTCTGACGGTGAGATTACCTCTCTGGTTTTTTGTTTAAAACTCTGTCCGTCTGGGTGGCCTCTGTATGAATAAACGGTTCAAAATACAATATAGTGAATGACAAAATACTTTCTGTTGA